TTATTATTTTTTTTGTTCCAGCAAACTTTATGTGTCACTATATTAATAAAGTACCCATTATTCCATGCATACAATACTTTAACCTGAACGTTCATCATACTATAAGCTCTTCTGAATAATGCATCAATCAAGCTTTCTTTATTATACAGGTGACGATGCAAATACCAGCCGACCAGTCAGTAAACACTTGATGTCCATGGGGGTTGAAAGTGAGTCCTTTTTTTCAATTTATTTGACTGCATTATAGAAAATTCTATAAACAGGAAAATTATTGCAAACAGACTTAATTTCTTAAAATAAGAAAATAGTTTGAATGCACTCCGAGTGCTTTAGTTTTTAAAACGTAAAATGTGTCATACTATAGCATTAATAAAAAAAAAGAGATGTGTTTGTGAAACACTGATGCCCCCATATGGCAGCTCAAGGCCAAGTATTTCAAATGTAGATCAAACTCCAAAGTCAAGGTCAAGGTTTTCAAATAAGGCTGTTACACAAAAAAGGTACTGTCAAATGGAAAACATGTACACATATAAAATATTCAAAAATTATGGTGAAAGTTTTTCAAAATTGGGTCATCTCAAAGATCAAGTTCAAAAAGAAAAAAATGTCGGTACCCAAAGAAAGGTCTGGACACATGGAATACACATGAAATATGAAATCCCAAGTTTTAACTTATCAAAAGAATGTTTGGAAAACTTTTTGGAAAAGTAGGTCAAACTCCAAGGTCAAGAAGTCAAAATGTTGGTACCCAAAGAAAGATCTTGTCCAATGAATAAACATGTGAAATAAGAAAGCCCTAGCACCAAACATTTAAAAGTTGTGGGTAAGGATATTTTTTTTTTTTTTTTATGACAATTGGACGAACAAATTAGCTGACAAACAGACATATGGCATAAAAATACTTGTGTTTCTTAATACCACAAGCTTACTATTTTAGAGGCTGAAAGAAGAAGACTCTGAACTCTGAAGCACAACAAAAGACACATAAAAGAGGTAAAATTTTAAGCAAGTACATCAAACAAATAATTTTTTAGCTCACCTGAAAGCTCAAGTGAGCTTTTCTGATCACCCGTCGTCCGTCCGTCTGTAAACTTTTCACATTTTCAACTTCTTCTCAAGAACCACTGGGCCAATTTTAACCAAACTTGGTACAAAGTATCATTGGGTGAAGGGGAGTTTCAATTGTTAAAATAAAGGGCCAAGTCTCCTTACAAGGGGAGATAATCAAGAAAAGACAAAAATAGGGTGGGGTCATTAAAAAATCTTCTTCTCAAGAACCACTGGGCCTAAAAAGCTGAAACTTATGTGGAAGCATCCCGGGGTAGTGTAGATTTTAAATTGTTAAAATCATGACCCCCAGGGGTAGGGCGGGGCCACAATAGGGAATCCAATTTTTACATTGAAATATATAGGAAAAATCTTTAAAAATCTTCTTCTCAAGAACAACTGGGTCAGAAAAACTGAAACTTATTTGGAAGCATCCTGGGATAGTGTAGATTTTAAATTGTAAAAATCATGACCCCCGGGGGTAGGGCGGGGCCACAATAAGTATTACAAGGGGGAAATCTGGTAAAGAACAGCATGGGCCAAAGTTACTTAGGTGAGCAATGTGGCCCATGAGCCTCTTGTTTCTTGTTTGCCAAGCTTAGAGAATTTGTTGAGTTTGCTCGCTTTTTTGGATTCTTACACAACAAGAAAACATATCAAAGATTCAATTTCCAACTTTATTCCTTTTTCTTCTTTTATGTAACACTACTAGACTGACTTCCATGTTGATAAATAGTACAGACATGTACATTTACTCTCAGAAAAGACTAATACTACTCTCACACTGTTTAATGAAAAAAAAAACTATACTTTAATTAGGTCATCTGAGTCACTCAGGTGACCTATTGCTATCTGGGTGGTCAACAATATTGCTACATTGCGAAAAAATTGAACTCATTACCGCTACATTTCTTCGAAATTTGGGGTGACTATTACTGCTACATTTTATCAAAGAGGCTGTTACTGATTATGGGCCAGCAATGCCACTGAATACAAGTTCGATTCATTATGATTCATTATCAGAGATTTCCAAACAGCAGACAGTATGTCAAGCAAATGACCTTCAAAGCTCTACCATTTATGTAAAGACTATGTGTTTTATCCAAGAACATTGAAGATGAATACATATAAAAAATATTTAACAATCTTCTTCTCAAGAATAGCAAAGCCACAATTTGTCTTATTTATATGGAAGCATCTTTGGATAATGTTAATTCAAATTTGTTCAAATGTTGACCCCCTGGGGTAGGAAGGGGGCACGACAGGTGATCAAAGTTTTAGTTAGGAATATATAGGAAATATCATTTAAAAATCTTCTCAAAAACAACAAAACCATGATAAGTCATTTTAATATAATTTAATTTTGGTTGTAACGTATCATTTGATTGGATAAAAAATAAAAAATAATAAAAATAATAAGATAAAAAATAATTTATATTGTATAACATGGGTTTGTTTTTGCAGCTTTCAATTTATAGTACTTTATGGATTGTTGTTTTATTGTTGTTTTATACTCAGGTGACTGTTAAGGCCCTTTGGCCTCTTGTTAAATTTGTTTCAAAATCAAACTACGGTAAGAAAAACAATTTTTATTTATTACTTGTAGATGATGAGAATGGTGCAAATGAGAGATATTTTAAATTGGAGGAGGAAAAAATGAAAAAAACTGGAAAACTACAGAAAAAGAAAATTAGAACTTTTAGAGGAAATGAAAGTGTTCCAACAGAAGAGCTGTCTTGCTCTGGAGAAAATTGCAGAGGCACTAACAGAACAGCCTAAAGAATTTTCCTTGTCACCTGTTATAAAATTTTAACAAGATTAGTCAATATATCCCTAACAAAGTTTAATCTAGTTATAATCCAACCTAATTAAAATTAGATGTTCCGATCCACTACCGCTTCTGTTTGAGAAGCGGTAGCAGATCGGAACATCTAATATTAATTAGATTGGTTATAATCCCACTCCGAAGGAGAGGGGGTATACTGTTTTACCCTTGTGTGTCTGTCTTTCTGGGTGTGTGTCTGTCTGTACAAAATTTTCAGCAACTCCTCATTGCATGCTTGAAGTTTAAGCACACTCTATCGTTTGGGATGCCATATGGAGGGATTTTGTACCAATACAGTGTCAACTTTCTGTTTATCAGTGCTTTTTTCTGTACCAATACTTAAACTGAATTAACTTGTGTATATTCACATGAGAGCATGTATTCACATTAGAGCAAGGGTATTATTAGTGAGCATTGGCTCACAGACTTCTTGTTAATTATAGCTTACTATGGTATAAAAGTTTCTCCTACAGTATATCAAGGTATTTTTATGCCCAGCCATGAATATCATTTATGGCATATAGTGTTTGTCATGTCCGTCTTCCATCCATCTGTCCTTCCGTCACTCTTTGCATTTAGCTCAGTTTCAAAGAAACTATTTAAGATATTTATATCAAACTTCCAATGCTTATTTATATTAATGAAAGCTATTCAACTGCATCAAAAACTTTGATCTTGAACTTTCTTGTGACCTTGACCTCATTTTTCTTAAATTTGCACTTTGCTCTGTTTCAAAGAACCTATTCAAGTATTTTTAAGTAACCGTATGCACTGATATATAATTTGATGAGAATTTTTTCATTTATATTTGTTTTTTTATATTTACATTTGCTGTGTTTTTCTTCTAAGCCAACTATGCAATGATTTGAAAGTCATTTTTGTGTATACTCGCACGCAGAAATATACACGGTGAAACCCGTGCTATAGTGACGTCACAATGAGGCTACAGAGACGTAAATAAAAATGTAACGATATAGGGCAGCAAGAAAATCAAATATTGAGTATATTATTGGTGCTTTTAAACTTGTAAAATGAAAATATAAGGAATGCTTTTTAAGTTTAGTTTGAATTATTGGTGTGTAAATCACACAGACTTGCACGTAGGCTTATTTCTTGAAGCGCACTAGCGCTTCATTTAGCGCGCTTCATGAAAAATATGCCTATGTGCAAGCGCTAGCGCTCTTCATGAAATATGTCTATGTGACAAGTCTGTGTGATTTACATACCAATAACTCACACAAAACTTAAAAACATTCCTTAATTAACCTGACCATTCCATTGACTTTTGAGTTTATGGTTTTAATTGTGTATAAATCTCTGTTTTATAGAAACTGTTCAAGATATTTTCATCAACTTTATACACTAATAAATATTTTCCAGTTGCATAAGTAATGAATCCTGGGCAGAGCATTCATGTCCTATGGACATATTTCCAGTTTCTATGGAAGTCAGATTGTTATATTTTATGATCTCCAATTGTTACATGTGATTTTTATAGTAAATGGAACAATATCACTTGTATATACACTTATTATTTCCACATTTTACATCACTGTTATTGAATCTAAGATATTGTATGCCTAGAAAGCTTAAAAAAAAAGTTCTTGAATAAAGTTTTATAGTAAATCAAAGTATCAGAGTATTTACTTTAGTTAACTATAGTTAACTGTAGTAAACTATAGTTAACTATTGTAAACTATAGTAAAATAAAGCAAGCTATAGTAAACTATAGTATTTCACTGCTAGTCCCAAGCTCCAAATTTCATATTTAATCCATGGACTTGATCTCTCTCTTTCTTTTGCATGGTTCAATTGTACATAAAGAATAAAAATATGTACTTGCCTTTGCTTTTAAAATTTTAATTTTTGCATTATACACTCAGATACAAATTAAAGTTTTACTGTTAATACATGTAGTTAATCTTGTTACTGAAAAAAATTTGTACTTGTAGTAATAACAGCAGCTAGTGTAAAACATTAGAGCCTGTTTTCAATTTGACAGGTGTGTAAATATGTTCTTGATAAAATATGAAATGCTGCACTTTCAATATATGACCAATATAGCTCACAAGAGTGACTCAGAAAATATAGGAAGCAGGTAATAATTTACATCTGTTACCATTTAAAATCATTGAATGAGTCTTGTGCGCACTTCTGAAGCAGTCCTATTTGCATTATCACGATCTTCAAACTGGAATCCATCTGCATCTTCTTGATCAACTGCTTCCAATAACGGAATACCAGTTTCAATTGCAAGATTATGAAGTCTCATTGTGCATTCAATAATTCTTTTACACTTTGATGGTCTATATGGCAATGCTCCTCCAGTCTTGTGCAAACACCTGTCAAGGCACGAAATTATATATATATATATATATATATATATATATATATATATATATATATATATATATATATATATATATATATATATATATATATATATATATATATATATATATATATATATATATATATATATAATTTTTACCTTCTAAAACTTACAAATAATGTTCAAAGAATTAAATTACTAAACAATGAAATATATTTTATAATTTTGCTACTTACCTGAAGCGTGCTTTCAATACACCGAATGCTCTCTCAATCACGTTTCTGGTCTTGCAATGAGCATTATTATATTTCTCCTCCTGTCCAGTTCTGGGGTTACTTAGGGGGGTCATCAACCACTCTTTCAGAGGGTAGCCAGAATCCCCTACAAGCCATCCTCCATCCTCAAGACTGGAAACAAGGTTTGGTAGCGAGCTGCTCTGTAAAATGTAAGCATCGTGGGTGGCCCCTGGGAACTTGCAAACGGCATTTGTAAACCTGAACATAAAAAAGTAACTTTTTACTTGTAGATCCCGTCAAGATTATACGCAAGATTATAGGCAGTAGGAACCAGGGGGGGGGGGAGGGTTTGCCCCCCCCCCCCCAATTTTGCCGATATATAGAATACTATAGAAAACATAGCTACTATATGCTTGTGCCTCCTCAATGATAACGTCTGATGACCCCCCCCCCTTTTTTTTTTTTTGCTTGTCAAGAAATATTGGTAGTTGATAGTGCCCCCAGCTGAAAATGTATGTTTGTGCCCCCTCAAAGTGAAATTGCTTCCTACGGGCCAGTTAGGTGTATGTCAAGTGTGATAATTGACATGACTGACCTAAATTACTATGCTGATGGGGGCATAGTGTTTCACAATCACGTTTTAGCTCACCTGAGCCGAAACCTCGAGTGAGCTTTTCTGATCACCCGTGTCTGTCATCCGTCTGTAGACTTTTCACATTTTCAACTTCTGATGAAGAACCACTGGACCAATATTAACCTAATTTGATACAAAGCATCCCTGAGTAATGGGGATTCTAAATCATTGAAATGAATTGCCAAACCCCCTTCAAAGGGGAGATAATCAAGAAAAAAATAGGGTAGGGTCATAAAAAATCTTCCAAGAACCACTGGGCTATAAAAGCTGAAACGTATTTAATACATTTCTGAGGTAGTATAGATTCTAAATTGTTCAAATCATCGCCTCCGGGGTAGGGTGGGGTCAATAGCATTGAAATACATAGGAAAAATCTGGGTCCAGAAAAGCTGAAACTTAAATGGAAGCTTTTTGAGGTAATGTAAATTGTTCATTGTTCAGATCATGGTCCCATGGGGTAGGGTGAGGCCACAATAGGGATTGGACGTGGGAAAAAAATCGTCAAAACTCTTGTACTCAACAACAACAAGGCTATGATGAAACATTTTAATGTGGTAACATCCTCTGGTAGTGTAGATTAATTTTTGTTAAATCACGACCCCTCTGTATGGGGTGGGCCAAAAAAGTCGATTAAACTTTAACCTAAGAAATACATGTATATTGGGGGGAAATCTGATGCAGAACAGTAGGCCTAAAGTGACTCATATGAGCGATGTAGCCCATAGGTCTCTTGTTTTCAGATATTTTTTAAACCATACGTTGAATATAGCTATGTATCTTATTATTCTCATCATTATAACACATACTTCAGGTACGTATAGTATTGGGGGGGGGGGGTATGGAAATTAATTGTCAACGACAGACCTCCCCTTCTTTTTTGTTGCAGTATGACCAGAATGTGCGTTAATGTATTCGATAATGTTTTGTTGCATAGAGAAATTTGGAACCTACGCGTGTGCAACTCTTACCCCCCTCCCTCTTCTCTCTTTCACTCTAAAACTTTTTTTTTAGATTTGAATTCTTATTTTCTTGTCAATTTTTTTTAGGTATGTTGTCAGTTATTTTTCTTACTTCTCCATCTCTTCAAAAAAGATTTTTTTTCCTGTCTTAATTAAGTACCCTATTAACGATAATCAATCATTACATTTATAAAGCTGTAATTTTAATGAAGATTACTATCATGGCATATTAAAAATTATTTACCTTAAATCGGGATTAACAACAGCCTGCACATTGATTGAATGGTACCCTTTTCTACATATATACACCGGCTCATCTTCCAAACTCATTCCCTGAATTGGAATCTGCGTGCCATCTATTGCTCCAACCACACTGGGGAAGCCTGCAATCTTGTAAAACTGGGATTTGATCTTTCTCAGTTCATCGGTGGAGGTAGGAAAATTTATGTTCTTCAAAGTGTTGCATATAGCATCTACTACTCTATGAATGATCATACATGCCGACGCTTTAGAAATGCCGTGAAGGTCTGCTACTTCTGAGAGGTAATCACCTTTCGCTAGAAATCTGAGACACGTTAGAACCTGAAATAAAGTGTAATGTTGCCCCAGTTGTACTCTTTGATAACACACTGTACACATTCTGAATGTACGTATACCCGATATGTTTGTGTCAGGGAAGGGGGGGGAGGGGGGCTGTCAAATCGAAAAAATATCTTAACAACAGGAGAAGGTAGAGATTCATTAAAGGGTAAATATTAAAAATAATGCTAAAGAGAGAACAAGTTATTTGTAATTCCAAAACAGGGAAAGAAGGCAGGCCAAATGAGGTTGTGTACGTTTCGTCTGGCTACAAAACTATGTACATGCCCTGCGTTATTCTTTTTTCATTTGCCCAAACTATTTTTTCTGAACATGACAATACTAAAAAATTGACGTACATTGTATTATAATTCAGTCAGGTAATTCAAAGCATTGACACATTATTTCAATTGGTTCAAAATTATTACATGAGTGTAAATAATTTTAATTTTTATTTTACATGAGAAGAAAATATAACCTATTTAAAATTTTCGTTTATCCATTGCTTGCCTTAAATCACTGAAGATAAGCCTGGTTAAATGAGGTGATTTAAAATAAATTATTATATATTTTATTATTATAGCAGACTTTTTTAAAAAAAAATATATATATATATATATATATATATATATATATATATATATATATATATATATATATATATATATATATATATATATATATATATATATATATATATATCTTTAAATCGGTTAACTTAGATATACCCCCCCCCCCAAAAAAAAAAAAAAAAAAAAAAAACCACACACACACACACACTACATTCAAGGGAAGCAATTCTTTTTGGTACCAAAACAGTTGTTTCCCCTTTCAACGATCTTTTGGACACTTGCACATGGAAGGAAATTGGGTTCCAAAAGGATTCAGGTCGGACAATTTCCTTCATAAAATTCTAATTGTGTACTTCAATCAAACTAATTGTGTCTTACACCTTTAGAAGTTTGTGTACGGGTGATTCTTTATGTGTAAGAGAAATATTTTTATCTTAATGTTTTAGTTGTTCATTAGAATTTCCTCTGCTGTATATTTTATCAGTGAACTGTAGCTATCTTACCTGAATGTGTGCGGGAATTGAGTGTGATCTATTAGTTTTAGGCTGGATAAGATCCTTGAGATCGTTTACAAGGTCTAGTATGATAACCCGCGGGAATCTATATCGCTCGATAAGCTCCACATCGGTCATCGTATCGAGGACCTGCGTTCTGTCTCGGAAAACCCTCTCCCGACGAGCCTGTTTGTCATTTTCTTCATTTAGAATGTTATGAAATACTATCAGGGCAGCCATGTTTATTTAGAAATGATGCAATTTACGATAATTTCTTAACTTAAGAGAGCCCATTACCTCTCGTAAGTTACGATGACTTTATTTGTCGTAACTTAAGATAAGAAGTTTAGTAAGACTGAAATTCATCGTAACTTACGGTTACGATCAAATCTTAACTTAAGAAGTTTAGTAAAACTCAAGCCTGGTTTTCTGCACCGATGTTACTGTTATTTAAAGACCAAGTTAGAAATTCTCCCTCTCTCTCTTTTTGAAATGCAGGCCCGTCAATCGTAAAAAATGACTTTGACAAAAATAATTTCAATTTTTAATAAGTATCTCATCTCTCAAGCCATAGCCTTAAGTAAGCTTTTCTGTTCATTTTTCTTCATTGTCTGTCATCTTTGTTTGTTGTCTTGGTGTATATAAGCGTTATCGTCGTTGATGTTCCAAAGCTACTAGAAAATTTTTCTCATTTTTATCTTATTAAGAATCACCGGGCCATGTCAACGAAAATTAGCACAGAATATTTTGGGTAAAGTTTTGTTCAAATGAAGTGTTATATACTCTTTTAACAGATACATATTCAAAATTAAATGGGATCCAGGATTTTTTTTCCACGCGGGGATGGGGGGGGGGGGGCATCCCAATAAAAAAAAGAGAAAATATTACAACTCAAAAATATCCTGAGAAGCAAAAAAGAAAAAAAAAGAAAAAATGAGAGAGAGAGAGAGAGAGAGAGAGAGAGAGAGAGAGAGAGAGAGAGAAACTCTTTTCCCAAACGTGAAAAACCTATTTCATGTGTGTGTTTGTGTGTGTTGGGGGGAGGGGGGTCGTTGACTTATAAAGCTTCATAACTAAGACTTTTCATACCATCTTAACACAAATCCGCTTTTACTTGGTTTTGTATATACATTTAATAACACTGCAAATTCCAGGGATCCTAGATCCGCACATGCGGTCATTTGAAAAAAGTATTCTCAAGAACCTCTGGTCTAGAATGGGAAAATTTGCTACAGAGTATACAATAGTACACATTCAATTTTTTTTTTTTGAAATCTTGATTCCAGGGAGAAGGTTTGGACCGGAAAGAATGTTCATGATTTAACTTAGGAATTTATATATCCCCCCAAGCGAAGTGTATGGGTTTGAGGTGGGGGTATTTTGAATCTTTTAGAATCACACTGTCCGTGTGCTTAGCTCTCCGTCTGCGCGTGAAAGTTTGCCAAGGATATAACTTTGTTATGAAGAAACTGGAAGCTAATACTTAGTACAAAGATTGCTAATGATCCGAGGGTGTGTCATGGTTTCGATCCAACATCAATCCGGCAAGTTCAAGGTCATCGGAAAAATAGCGAAGTTTTTTCCGACCAATTTATTTGTAATAGAGAATCACTGGAAGCTCACACTTGATACAGGAATTGCTTATGACAAAAGGGTTTGCCAAGGCTTTCATCCAAGGTCATTCCTGTAAGTTCAAGGTCACTTGCAGAAAAGTGTAAAATTACTGTATGTGCTATAATATTGGAAGCTCATAATTGGAATAAAGATTGCTTATGATCTACCGGTTTGAGATAACATTGTACTAAACTGGCAGAAGAAGTTGCAAAATTCGTGCCTGGGTTATCAATTTATAAGGGATGGGAGGAACACAGGAAACTTTTTCATAAAACAGATTGCATGAGATGGGCTTGTCCTGACCTTGAACCAAGGTTTTTTCAGGCAACTTCAAGGTCACCGGCAGATAAATATTATTATTTTTTCCATGCTATGACTTTGTAATATAAAATACTGGAAGCTTTAACTTGATACAGAGAGTGCTTGTGATCCAAGGATGTTTCTTGACCTTGATCCAAGGTCTTTCTGGCAAGTTCAAGGTCACTGAGAGAAAAGTGCTATATTTTTTTCCAGGCATATCTTTGTCATTGAGAATCACTGGAAGCTCATACTTTGTTCAAGGGTTGTTTATGACCACAACAAAGATCATTTAGACAAGTTCAAGGTCACTGATATAATAAGTGTAAAATTCAAAAAGCTCTTGTTGCCCGCGTGGCGCAGTGGTAAGAGTGTCTGCTTTAGAGTTGTTGAGTAAGGAGCTGATCCTTACGTCGCAGCTTCGAATCCCACTGTGGGACGTGGAGACTGGTCCTTCGGATGAGACCGTATAAACTGCGGCCCCGTGTTGCTGTAGGCACTGGCACAAAAAAAGATCCCTCACTGCTCAATTGCCATGAGTGCCGAGTATAGGTCACAATTTGCAGCTCTGCATCGGCAAATGGTGTTGTTACCATATGATTGAAAAATTCTCGAGAGGGACATTAAACAACATACAAACAAACAAACAAAAAGGTCTATAATTTTGTAATAGAAAAACATAGCATGTGTTTGCATTTCACTTACAGATGATTAATATATCATCTAGAGTGTGTAATGGCCTTGACGTAAATTCGAGGTCACTTAGAATATGATGTTTTGGATGAATAGTCTGTAAGGATACGTGACTGTGAATTTTTTTTAATGTCGTTGACATACAGATTGTGCTTGCTCTTAACCAGCTGCAGAGTGTGTTTTGGCTTGACGCAAGGTTATTTGGACAAGTTCAGGATCACTGATAGGGGAATTTTACATTCCTTTACTGTCTTTCTACTGTTGAAACATTGCAAGTTGATACCTCTTACAGGATTGTTTATAACCTTTAAATGTTGCATTACCTTGACTCAAGGTCGCTATGTCCTATCCGGAGCTCCGGCGAAAGACCTACTCGTTGCTTTGCAACGAGCTCGACTCTAGTTTATAATTATTTCTTATTTAGGCAAGTGGGGGATATTTTTTTTTTTTTTCGGGGGCTGGATGTTTAAATTGTGCTTTTTGCAAGATACATGTATAAAGTAATGAAGGAATTTGATAGTTGTTTTTTTTATAATTCAGTCGTATTGTGGGTTTGATATTGATACACCTAGGAACTGTACTGAAAACATGTAATTAGATATCAATCCCAAGGTTTTAAATTGATATTTAAACTTGATTACTTACTTCCTTATTGAGAATGGGGAATTAATTGTCTGAAAGAGATTACAAATATTGATAAGACACTTTGTTAAACTTACAATTATGTGTAATTAATCTGAAAACATTCTTAGATATGTGTATATAACTTTTACTTTGTTCCCATCAACTTTAGATCAAAACTTTACATTTGTATCACTCAATATTATAAAAGTTACTAGAAGTAGCAAACTTTATTTATTCGAGATATTTTTTCAAGAATTTAATGAAAACGATATCCATTTTAAGTAAATGAAGGCAAATAGTTGATGACAGTAAAAAATTCAAAAGAGAAAACCAGTTCTTTTAAGATCATCTCATACATCAAGAAAATACAAACAATTGAGAAGAAAAAAGTATTGAATAATTCTACATTTTTATTGTATCATTACGTGGATATTGTCCTCGAATGATCGATTACATGTTCAAAAGCAATTCCCTTTATATATATGAGTCACTGATGCACGTATTCTTTTTAATCAATGTGTTTTTGCCATTTAAGAAACAGAATCTACAACAAACTAATTATTGATTCGATGATATGAAAAATGACAACTGCATTTCAAGGTGATTAAAGCCAAGTTTTAAAGAAATCAAACTAATAAACAAATATAAGCCTAATTTGTCTTTGTAATGATAAGAGTTTAAGTTGCTTTCAGTGGTTTCTTTGGGGGGGGGGGGGGGGGGGGTAATTGCGATTTAAAGAAAAATTAGGAATGAAGCAGTTAGACAGTTGGTTTTATATTTCTTTCTTATTGTTAGTTCGATCTCAATTAGATTATGAACTGTACTGAAAACATGTGATTTATCGTCATATCTGATGTTTTAAATCTCCATTTAAACTTGATTGCTCGCTTCTTTATTAGGAATTGTGAATTAGTCGTCCGAAAGAGATAACCGTAATGGATGTTAACGCTATTACACTGGTAAAATACATAAAGTATGTGTACATCATTCAAAGATAAAATACTCAGATATTCATAAATTTCTATGTAGTGTCAGCTCTAAATAGTCGTGTGTTCTAATTAAGATGTAATACAACTTGAAAGTAGCTAATTTATTATCTTAGGATGCTTTTCTTAATCATTTCTTTGAAAAAATATATAGGAAAGGTGGAATGAAATCATATAAAATGATTTTAGAGGGGACTGGAATTGATGAGCTTGATAATTCTTATGCATAATTATAAATTAAAATTTGAGTTTTGTGATATTTACTCTTTTTCTTTTTTATCATTTATTTTCTGGTTCATCCAAAATTTCAAATATATTTTATCTAAGATGCTGGAAATAGATTGAACAGTGTTTAATAACTCTGCAGTATTATTTAATGATTATATTGGTACTGTAATCGAATGACATTGAACCATATTGTAAGAAACTTTCCTAAATAATAACGAGACATGAGGGAGCACGACGGATTATATTATTTTAGACACTCATTTTGTCACCATTCAAACACTAAAAAGAGTTTGGTTTACCGTTTAAGTTTAAAAAAGAAGACATGCATATAGAAAAAAGATATGTTTTGTATCATTAATTATTAAAATAACTTTCCTCCGTGTCTGTTTGCATGTTAAAAATCTTGAAAACAAAGTTGGACAGACTAACCGACATACAAAAAGACAACAAGACTTACAGGCAAACGGACATATATGTAAATAAAAACCTACTAAATCTTCTGGTTTTATCTTAAGTGGACTTAAACTACCAGTTACATCGAATGTTTGTGATCATATTATTGACTTACATCATATGTCTTTTTCTCTCTTTGTCATGATTTGACAATAGTATAGGAAGGGTATCCAACAGATATACATGTACTTGTTATTCCTTCCAATTATGAATGTTTTCATAAAGATTATAATAGTTATAGCCAGATCTGTATATATGAAATCAAATTTGTATAAAACAAAATTATGAGTTTTCAAAGAATAATTTTCCTCCACATAATGATGAATCTTCTTTGATTGCACATAAGCGTTTCACATTTGTAAATAAGTAAATAGTTTTCTCGACCATCGAAATCCAAGAGCAGCTTTAAATAATTTATTTTGCTTATTGGCAAAGGAATATTGAAAAATGAAATTTAATTCAGATGTAACAAAATTATTTTTAGCATTTACATGTCTTTGATGATTTTTTCCTAAAAAATCACAAAATTCTCACACATATACAACAGATTTTCTTGTTCCATTCAAGTAAATGACATGTTTGTTTGTCGGTTTTTTTTTTTTTTTTTTTTTTTTTTTTTTTTTTTTTTTTTTTTTTTTTTTAAAGATATGCGCACAATTTTCACCTTCATTTGTTAATGGCACTTTTCCTTTCCTTCAATAACACGAATAATATTATTAATAAGATAATTTTTTACTGTATTCATTGTTAAATATTGGTTTGGTGTGCATGAAAATGCATTGACGAACGAAAACAGTAAATATTGGATATAATTTTATTATACACTATGCTCATCATTACTGATTTTCAGCATTATCCTAGAGATCTGCAATTATTACAGTTTAACAAAGGAGTATTGATTGTAGTCACTGTTCGATGCATCTATACTACTATATTAAAATTATAGACTCGAATTTTTGGCCTTTAATACCGATAAATCGGAAGAGTACTGTCTTTTGTTTTATATATTTTAAACATCATTGGTGCTTGAAGATTACCAATTTGTTTTTATTTTTTCTCAATTAAGTTTCGCTAAATAATTATCAATGAAAATTCCTCAAAAAATTCCGGAAATCATCTGGATTTTCTGGATTTTACAATCTTGCGCGTGCGCATTACATTCACGCTAAATCACTATGTTCAAATCAGAGAAGACAAAAGTACTAAGTAGATATATATTTGTTATTTTATAATTTCTCTAATAAGAAATTATAAATATATATGAACAGAATATATAGCAAATTTCCAATGAAAATTTACACGTATTTGTATTATCGTTTCTGAGTTTATCCATGCAAATGTGATATTATGGCCACGTAGGTAATCATTAGCCATCTCGGAGACACATTTATTATATGTAATTTATGTCTCTGGCTATCTCAACGGAGGCAAAAAGCTCATGATCGTTGGAGCAATATTAATATAATTACCCGATTTTATTTTATCCTTCCTTTCTTTTGAAATGCTTTTTTGAGGGGAAGGGGGGGGTACAACTCCAGATAGAATCACATCTTAGTGAAGTAGGCATTCTTTTTCCGCCAAAAATTACAATAACATTATTTTCATTTCCTAATTTTGAAATAAATCGAAATAATCAAATAACGTCAATATAACCGATGTTTTCAATTTAAAATGTGTCTAAATGATTGCAACTTTAATTTGTTCGCCATGTTTACTATAACCTTCACTGTTGAGATTTATTCATAACGCGGTAAATATGAAGCATAAACTAAGGGCAAAGAAATATTTGATTCCCTGCATTAAATTCACATTATATTTCTTAGGACAGTGCTTAGTGAAACTAATAGCATTATTGTAGGCTTATAGTTTTATTATGTAAATACATGTAATGACCTCTTACCCTGGTCTGTCAACAATACGGTGAACACACTGAGTTACCTGGGGCCCAGGTATAACCAGTCAAATCCTATAGCCATGTTGTCAACAACACGTACCTCCTGCCTTTTATGTATGCCTTTGTGTTTATTGCCCTGCCTGTTACCCGCGTGTATGTCCATGCATATGTACCATGCATTCGTAGCTGTTATTTAAATAATAAAATGCTTTCTTAAGTGGTTCATGTGAGATGTGCATGACACTAGCATAAAAGTAGCATTGCAGAAAAAAACATGAAACCCGTATTAGTGGATTATGTAATTTTTTTCTGCAAGGCTTGCGCCGTGCATTTCCCACGTGAACCATCAAAGAAAGCATTTTATTGTTTATATTTAAATTCACCTCCAAAATTTCTTTAACTTTCAAAAAAAGTGGGTGAAATATGTAAATTATTGTTATTGATCTTCAGTACGTTAAAAAGAAGGGACAGCCTGTTTTTGTAAATATGTGAACGTTGTCATGGTAACTACGCTTGATAGGTAGTCTGAAGTCAGCCCTTGCGGCCCGTACTGTTCATTCTATCAATGCTGCTAAAATATCGATCGTTTGTAAAATATAATCCATGCATAGTAAATCTCAAAACTGTGAGGTGGAAAAAAAATTAAGATCGTAAAAAAATATTTATTCATTGATGAAATGAATTATATTTAATCGTAGCAAACAAACTAACGTTTCATTAAATCGCCACAAGAAAAAAATACACCAGCGTGAAAACAAGTTGTTTTCTTCATCAGCCATGACAGTTCCCATGTGATGTAATGACGTTTGATTGAAAACGTTTGACTGCAGTAGATTAACCTTTGTTATCACTAAACAGATATATAAATGTTTATGAGGTATGTATTTTATTTTTTGCTGCATTATTTACGTATGAAGAAAGAAAACTTCCCATATTCAGATCAAGATCCGCTCCCAAATTCTCATTGGCTGTCCCAAAATAAAATCGGTCAAGGTCAGTAAACTTTAAAGTTTGCGGTAAACTCGGACTTTACTAAATATTTTGGAAAAATTTATGTCAAAAACATTAATTTTAAAATGTTTCTGATTACATTGTATGATTTCAGTTAAAAAAAAATGGAAATGAAACTGTATGTTCCAAAGAGAGTTGTAACCCCCCCCCCCCCCCCCCCAAGGAAAAGGCTTCATTATTGCAACAAGAAGTACTTTCAAGTTCCTACTTAGGATACCCTTGGTAAATGTCTGATATGCACATGGATGCATTCATAACAATGTCAACCCGTGCACGCACGGGTCGAAGTCTAGTAATAGTGGAATAAAAAGAAATGAAGTTTTTTTTTCTGCTTAATAAATTTTTTTAGAGAGTGTTAGTATTTCTTATCCGATATAGGTATCGTCAACTGATTGTAGAATATATTAAAGTAAACCCTTTGAAGCTAGTTTGTTGAATAAGTCTTTCATGGAATGCTCAATGGCCCCATTCCTGCTTTTTGTAACAGAGTGACCGGTTTCCCCGGTACTTTGATCCAAACATAATCCAATGTATTTCCATTGAATCCCCATCAATTGACCTTTAAAACTCCACGAGATCATTTTTCCTCCACCACGATCAATCTGTATTAATAAGTGAACAAACATTTACAACTTGTTAATTACAGTGGTATGTTTCTGCCATCGCTTGTCAGATGACTATATCAACTTGTCAGAAATTTATGTCGACTTGTCATATATTAATGTCATAGTATTGGATCTCTATGTCGACTTGTTAGATAATAATCATAATGACAAGGAACTCTGTGTCTTGCTATTAAAGTGTGTTAATACCACTAAATGCCACTTACTAACATCTACCTGTTATCATAAAATCTGACAAGTCAACCTAAGTTTCATACAAGTAAACATAATTTCCTGATGATTGGCACTGTTTATTTAAAGTGTTCACAAAACTGGTCTATATTATAGAAATTCTTCACCTGTCCTTCACCAGATGTTCCTAAAAGTTCCGCGATGCCAGTCGCAGCAGATATAATGCTGCCTAACTTGTCCATGATTCTTTTCCAAAATATGTTTTCAATAACTGAATAACAAAAGGAGCATAAAATAATGATTAAATGATTATTATTTCAAAGAATAACAATATTTGACATAATATTTCATATGCATTCTCTTAAAAATAAGCTTCTTTAATAAAGTTCAAAAAATATTCCTTTGATAATTACTATGAAATCACTCATTTTCGTGGGGGTTTTATTTTCCTTGTTTTCGAGGTATAAAGAGACCAACGAATTTTTATTCATCAAGAAAAGTAATTTATCGGATATGATACTATTCATCTTCGTTAAGGAAGGCCTGAGTTTACAATTTACCTAATACATGCGATGTAACTGGTACAGAGTACAGCACAAACCTATCCATATATATATATACATACATATCTATATTTCCTAACCTACATGTATACAGTGACTTTGTTACGACGATTTAAAAAAAATAAAACGTATTAAGAATGTACTAAGATTGCATTTTCCATTTCCTTTCTTAACATACCTGGGTACTCAACGATTCTCTATCCACAACATCAAATCCCTGCAAAACATTTTTTTCCTCTTGAAAATCACGAAAATTTATAATATCCTTTATTTATTAAAATGTTATAAAAAATCAAACATACAGGTAATAGTTTTTGCTGTCCTGTTCCATTCGTTTTTTTTTTTTTTTTTTTTTTTTTTTTTTTTTTTTTTTTTTTTTTGAAATATCTATTACACATAAAAATATTATATAGTATAAACACTTCATGACAATATTGCCAGCAAATCATCACATTTACAAACAAATACAAATATAAATAATGAAGTATTTAACAAGATGTGTTTGTGAAACACTGATGCCACCGTCTGAAAACTCGTGGCAAAGATTAAAGTTTCACAATTGCAAATCAAACTCCAAGGTCAAGGTCAAGAGATAAAAAATTGCTGGTACCCAAAACAGGGTCTTGTCACATGGAATGCACCTGTGAAATCTGAAAGACTTGCACCAACTGTTTCCAAGTTATGACCAAGATTATATTGTTTAAAAAGTAGGTTAAATTCCAAGTTCAAGGAAAAAGGGTCAAAATTGTTGGTACAAGACAGGACAGACAGAGCAAAAACTATATGCCCCAAATCTTCTATTACGGGGGATAAAAAAACAGATTTTCTTTTATGCAACACAAAGCATAGAAGCAATTATTAATAACTATTATTTTAGGAAACTAAATATTCTATACACAAATGTTTTGAATGTATTTGAAAAATTTTGTCACATTTGTTAAATAGAAATCGTGAATGGTAAGAAATTCATTCACAGGATTGCTATTTTTCTCCTTGGCATAGTTGGTATAATGGAATAACTAGGATTAGAATATCTTTCCTGTTCATCTCTCAGTTGTCAAACACATTGAAACATTTGTTATAGCAAACTGTCAAACTATAGATTCGGTTTTAAGCAATGTTCAATCAATCAATTTAGATAAAATATTAAATTAATATAAATTCATATTTACCACGTTTGTATCTGATGGCGATTTCAGTTACTTTCAATGGAGCTTCTTTGTTTTTATAAATAGGTTTGTTTTCACAAGTCTCCTACAAGTCCCCCATTTATATGTAAGCGTCTAGTTTACATACATGTATGGAACGTGTTTTCTGTTTCGATTTCCTCATGAGGTTATTCCACATTCTAAAAATAGACTTGTTATTTGTAGACATAAGCACTTTAGCACTTACTTTCCCATATAATATATGGATTGAAAGTGTGATTCTACTGAACGAACAATAAGACAAATTATCATTCGCATTCAGGTAGGCAAGATCAAGCTTACATAACTTTTCATTGTAATATGTGTACTTGATCCAGGCGTTTGTTACCTAGCATAGTTAATATTGAGCATTTAAACATTTCATATTTGTGGTCAGAGCTTTCAAGGTATAACAACTTCAATTCTATTGAATATTGAATTAGGGCAGGTAAAGATTGTATATAAAATTGGCTTTAAGGTGGACTTTGAATTTACAAGGAAAAGTTTATTTAATCAAATCTAGGGGGGAAATTACCCTAGTTATCTTGTCTGCTGTTTTCCTTTTTCCAAAAAGCTTGTGGAAACAAAAATGAAGATAATTAAGCTTATTTGGTGCTGTTGTACAAGAAAATACAGAAATTGTTGAGATGGAGAATTGTATCAATACGCAGCCCCAAAGGGAATTAAAATCTTTTGTATCTATTTCTTGCAAATAAATATTCATCTATTGAAATGAATTTTAAAACATAGAAACAGAAGTTAGAAATGCTTTATTTAAATACACCCTGTTAGCAATACAAACTATTAACTTTTAACAAGAAATGATAATTAATATTTTCCGATATTGCACAGATTCAGTATCTTTTAACAAAGAAAGATTTAAAAAGATGCGCATGATCAAGATTATATTCTATATTCCTTATTTTTCATGATATCAAATAAACAAGGTCAATGCATACGCATAAATAAGTTCTTTTTATATTACAAGTTCCCCAATAACTGTATTTTTGAGCATTGTTCATCTGTAAAAGAAAAAAAAGTTATAAAACACATGAATTGGTATATCTAGAGGACACGATACAGCATAATCATGTGAAGTTCGTCACAGATAATTAAATTATAAACTACATATATATGCTCATGGAACATTTTAGAATGTATTTTCATGACTGCTGTCGGAAAAAAAAAAATAATTTGCCTACCTACCTACCCAACTTCAGGTTTTAGGGTCGGGTTAGGGGAAACAAAGATATTTTTAATGATGACCTTACTTTTCCTCGAATTTTATTAAGATCTTTCTGTGTACAGGACAGAGACCTCGAAGATCCTTACCTGTCCTGGTACTGATACATGCAGGACACAGACCTGTCTGAGTACAGGACCTATCCCGGATTTGAGACCCGTACCTGTCCTGGTACTGATACATACGGGATACAGACCTGTGCAAGACTCATACCAATAATTATTTAAAGATAGTTGTATGCTTTATCTTAAGGATATGGAATCCTATTATTATATCTGTATATATTGACTCGTTTATTTTCACATGTTTTGTCACATCATTTCTAATCATTTGTTTAATTAATTGTCTTGATTAAGGATCTACCCTAATTCACGGACCCAAACAGGTTACAAATGTATATATACATGAGTTTTCCCATTATGTCACAAATCTTATAAGTTTCAATAACCACCCCCCCCCCCCCAAAAAAAAAAATGCTGAATCACACAGGAAAAAGTTATTTCACACGCCGGAAACAGCTATATTACCCGACGGAAGCAGTTATAACACCCTCCCTATCATCCTCACATGCTTTTATGCTACGCAATAATTATTATATCTCGGATTCGAAATTTTAGGACGTTGGTTGCTAGCAGACTTTAACATCGGTGAATAAAAAGTAAAATAATGAAATGATTTTTTTGGATTATTTGTCTAAATTTAAATGATTTTAGACGATTCTTTTTAAATGTTATATTACATATGCAACATGACTTCTTGGGTGACATGGCTTCTCGGGTGACATACCAGAATATTTGCCTTTCGGCAACTGGTGACATAACATTCCAGGGCTTTCTTGTCACCTTGGGGCAACTATTTTTGTATGTCACCCTCGAAGCCATGTAATATGTGTATAATATGTCATTTGGAACCATAAATATGCAAAGAATTAAGACTATTATCAATGATAGAAAAAAAAGCTGTCAAACATTATAAAATGCGTTGGTTTCAGAACACAGGGATCAAGAAAGAGTGTGCTTCACATTTTATTTTTTCACCGGACATACATTAATTAAGACCCCCCCCCCCTCCCCTTGTACTGCAAAATTACAATGATCAACGAATTTAACCACCCTTTCCACACTTCTTTGCTTCCGACATATATCAAAAATAAGAATTACTGTGTTTGCGAAATGAAATCAAAAATAAGAAGTGTATAAATAAAAAAAGTAAACTAATCATGTTAGCTATGAATATCAACTTTTCTGATATTTGTTTTCGTCAGATCAAATAATACAGTTTTTATTTTTTGCGATGTTTTATATACTACTATCATATTCTAAGTAATATCTAAGCGCATAATTGTAATCTTTCCAAATATAATATTATAGTTTTACGGGGAAGGAGGACCACAAGCTGAAAAAAAAAATACTTGTAGTTATTGTTATTTATTTATTTATTTTTTTTTTTTCATATTTTATACATTTTTAAATTAGTATGTCCCACATATCTTAGAGCTGTTATATTATTATGTTTCTTGTTTTAGTTTAGAGATATTGAGTGACAAATACTATGTCCCACAGTGTCTATGTGAATGTTTGATTCTCCAAGCTTCCGGGCTGATTACTTTGTTCAAAATGGGAGTTTTTAGCATAGATAAAAATATATCAGTGGACATGTAAGTTTTTAAATATATCAAAGTATGGATAGGGTTTAAATTCGAAAAAGTAAGTTTTTTTCTTTCACCACGCATCTAGATAGGGAAAATTATGTTTTTTTAAGACAACTTAAACGACAAAAAACTTAGTTTGCAAAAAAAAATCTATCATTCATTATTTGTAAATTTACGTTAAATGCAAGTCCTTTGTATTAATTTTTAACTATAACAATATCGAATGATGAAACTGGACTGAAAATTGCAAAGGACATCGTTAAACAAGAAAATAAGTATGACAAAAAAGTGTAGTGTTAAAATTACATTTCTCGAGTACGGTAAAACAGCTATGACGTCAAACGTAAATTTAATATAACAACATAAGATTTCTGCATCAGTCATGCAAAAATAATTTTTGTGTTTCTCGTTTCTCATATTATCTCATCAAAAACTGATTTCGACCTGTTTTACATAATAATATTGCCAGATGAGTGTATATTCACCGAGTTTGATTTTGTTGTATTAACAGATCGTGTATGGCGTCACCGACTTGTTGGACGCGCAGTGTAGGGAAACAAAGAAGTGGAAGAACATATTCCGTAATATATTTGTTAATGTTTACAAGAATGTTAAAACTTTCATTTTATATATTTTTTTTTTTTATAAAATAGTTATTTAAGTTGTTTATATAATTGATCGTTTACACGTTTTGCACTAATATATATTAAACTGATGCTATAGTAAAACAGGTCATGTGACCATGTGTCCTTCGTCCTTCGTAAATAAGCATCGTCTTCTAGATTCTTTTAATTACGTGTTTTGCTTAATACAATATTTATCACCATGATTTATTTAATCAAGATATTAAAGTCAATTTTTGATCATTTTAATGACTATCTTTTCTCTGCAAAACTACTTCAAATTCCACCCCTACCACATCATACAATGAATCCAAAGCTGCGTATGAAAGACGCATTAGAAGTACATGTAGGTTGTTATTGTTTTATGTATATTGCCAGAATTCTTCACTTACAATTACCGTGGAAGGGCTTTGAGTTTAGACGTGATACCTATCGGCACTCGGGGCCATTGAGCAGTGTAGCGACCTCTTATGATAAAACGCAGCTTAATGATACAAATATCTTTAAGCATTGCAATTGCAACACTTAATGCCATAAATTATTGTATTAATACGAGGGGTGATCAAAAAGTTCGCTAACTAATTGAATAACTTCCGTAAAAGAAATGAAATTAGGTTTTAGTGTTCATTATCTTTTAAAGTAGTCCTCTCCGATTTAAATGCACATCTGCCACCGTTCTGCCCATGCGCGAATCACATGATACAGGCGGTCACGTGACATGCTCCGAAGCGTTCCTTTCAAAGCATGTAAAAGATATTTCCGAGTCCTATTTTTCTTACCATGCAAGTTATTTTTTGTAACAAGAACAGCCAACTTGTCAAAAATGGCAAAATCTTGATAATAGGATGGGTGGATAAGGATATCCTTTCCCGGAATGAGCATGGTGACCATCACAACCCGAATCTTCTGTCTTGCGAGCGTCGTTTATCCAATGTGGATATAAGGCATGGCGCCTTCTTTTTATAATATCTGATATGATTAAAGTCTAAAGTAAACGATATTTTAGGGATTTAATAACTGTATTATTGTAAGGATATTCAACTATTTTTCTACCTGTAACTTGGCGTTCTTTCATATCAAATTGCTCAACTGAAGACACATCTCTTCCCCAGCTTGCTTTCACTGGGCAAGAGAACAAACATCATTTTCACCATCTCCCTTCTTTCACTAAAACAATCAATTCAATTAATGAACTCCTGGCAAGCCTTTTGTCTTCATAAATTTTGTACAAAGTATTATATGCTACTGCAAAGGAATTTCCAAAATACACATTAACATCAATTCTCTGTAAAGACAAAAAATGCTTGGCCACGCACTATCATGGAATTTTATTTTATCACTATAATATTAGAGAGTGCCCTATATAAAGACTATTGGTGGGTAAATTTTGGACAGTACCTCCTTGGTTTCCATAGCAACGACTTTGAAATATTTTGTTATGGCAAAACTGACCTGATTGTCATCAACATGTAAAATAATTCTGTGCTTCCTTAATATAGGAAAGTTATGAACATAACATAGGTTTCATTTTATTGCTA